TGTACGTTTGTGAGTTCAACACAGGACCTAGATCATTAAGGTCCGATCCGTTGGAATCATTAAAGCGGGTAATTTGTCATTAAACTCATTCTTTTGTACAAGCCTGCCTTAATGAAATGATTAAGGGAAGTTATTGATATTCAGGGCTGTCACAAACTTATTACTTATTTTTTTTAAAGCTCGTTGATAATATAAAAGTTCACGATAAACTTAAGTAATTTGTGCCAACCATTACACATTTATATTATTAAAATTATTTTGTTCCAATTAAAATGGAATAATTAGTTTTTTTAAAAGATATTTTCGAAAAATATTGTTCGATTATCTTTTGTTTTTCGTGTTGTGATGCCTTTATGAGCTTTAGAGCTTAATTTAAAAGGTTTAGGTCGAGTTCAAAGTCTTGTTGCTGGTGAGCTAATGATGTTAAGCCGCATGATTGATTACAACATCATTAATATTCGTTTCAATTGATTCAATTCTAATGCAATCTTGAAACTAATTTCTAACAGTTTAATTCGTGTTATTTTCGTACATTGACTCGGTAACTACTTTATGAGATCACATATTAATATTTTAATGATTTTTTTAAATTATTAATAAATATTTTAATTATAATTTGTATTTTTTTGAAGCAAATAACAAAATACGTGAGTTGGCACGTAGGATATAAGAGTAGTCTACAACACTACGTGTCAACTTAAACGCTAGTTATTTTATTAGGTAATTCACGAGGCAAATTAGTAGTAATGAATCGTTATTTGAAATGACCAATAAAATAATTGCAAACCTTTTAGTACCAAGTTGTACATGACCTTAATTATTTATTGCTTTATCTAGTAAAATTCTACGTTTAACGACGCTGTTACGTTATATTGTAAAGTTAATTTCTACCTATCGCAAAAAAATAAATAAAAAATACAGTTTAAGAATCACGACTATAAATAATTTTATAAAAAAGTCTTGATAGACATGGACGGACAACAAAGATTCTATAATTCTGTTTCCTATGAGGTACGGAACCCTAAAAATATTTAAACATCGCACTTCTGTTTTTCATGGCAGAGACGAAAATGCCAAAAATATTTTTCCGTCTGTAAATTATTACATTTTATTTCGTAATTAATATATCACTTTAGTATAAATGTAAATATTTCTTAATTTATAAATATTTCTAACAATTCTAAAAATAAATACGTAAATAATTTTATCGGCAAATAATAAAAGTCAACCAAAGAGTATAGTAAGTATAGTTTAGAATACCAAAGAGTATAAAGTCGACGTGTCTTTAAGAAAAAAAAATTAAATGAGTTTAAAATTAACCAGCCAGTGTTGCATGCAGGTATCAATTCACGGCCTAGTTACAAATAGCTGTTTGAACGGTCAAATATACCGGATAATGAACATAAGACGCTGCGAATAATCGCTAAATTACTATGCCTTTTATTTCAACAATGTACAGACTTTAAATTACTGACCACAATGTCTACTGTACTAAGCAATACCCATTTTCATCTCCCAAATAACCTCACATTTTCGATGATTTTCTAAGCGTTTTAGATTATTTTAGGGTTTCATACCTCATGGGACAAAAACGGAACCCTTATAGGATCACTTTGTTGTCCGTCCGTCTGTCACGTCCCTTTTATTTATATAGACAAGGTACATTTTACAACTTTTCCATAAAATATCTATAAACCCATAGCGATGATTAACTTAACTTCAAAGACTGTGTGAATAAATTTTTAGATTAGTTGATAAAAAATACTACTTTGAAATGTAGAGACAGCATGACTAACATAACATTAACCATTCCTGTTGCAGTCTCATGTAAATAAGCTCCGATAAAAACTTAAAAACAAAGTTTAGACATACTAAATCTTTTCACAAAAGCAACATTACCAAAGTATCTTTTCTATTCTCGTATCTTTGCGTGTTTGTATACAGTTTGTGTAGAAAGTCTACGCTTGCAGTTCGCGGATACGACATAATCTTTTTAATCCCCTCAGCATTGTTCCGCGACTCAAATCTCTATGTCAATGCACCCGCTATCATCTCGCGACGAATACAATTTGCAAGAGTTGATATTCCCAACGATAGTGGTAATTGGGAGCCAGCGTGGAGCTCTAAAATTAGGTGACCGCAAACGTAGCGTTTCACCCGTCTAATATTAAAATACAATACTTTATTAATACTTTTAAGAGACCTTTAAAATATGTATTTATTTATTTATTTGCACAATTTACCTTTGCCGGCAGTTGTGATATAAAATTGTCTTATAACAAAAACCTTAGACAAATATACTATGCAAAAAAAAAAAATAATGGTTAAATATAACACAATATTCTTAGTAGGTTTAGTTTAGGGTAGTTTGCTTTTTTTTTAAAAAAAATCCTTTTAAATTTAATATATTTAATAAAATTTAATGCATAAAGGATTTAATTGAAATACCAAGTGACCTTTGGCACAAAAGGTCATGTTCAATCAATGTAAAAAGTTTTAAATCGCGTACAATTTTGCCAAATCAAAAATATTTTATTAAATTTCTTTATTGTTGATAATATTTGTAAATTTAGTCTTTCTTATAAAGTAGTTCTTATAAATCTTTAGTTAAAGCTATAAAGTAAGTTTTGAAAAGAAATACGTCTTAAATAAAATTTGTAAAAGTTATAAGCGTGTTTAACGCTTCGTGCGCAGGCAGCCTTAGTAATCTTATCTTTCGTACGGAGCTTCTGCTAACGGTATCGGATGCGGCGGGGAAATATGCCGCATTGTCAGCAGCGAAGGCATTTTCAGTTTCGTGCTCGTTCGAATGCGGATATCTTTGCCACGGACCAGATTTATAGAAATAAACGATATAAACGCTTTGCTAATAATTTTACTCTATTCGAGGAGTAGTATCGGTTTAATATATTGATAAAGGCGTTTAAGTTTTGTCTTAAGACACGCGAAAGCTAACAGATTGCCTCCTATATTTTTTTTAATACGAGTCAATTTCCAAAATTAACAGTTGTAAGGTGACTTAAAGTCTTATGAAAATTCGTTAATTTAAAAATATTTTCTATGAAATCCTACAGTTTTGTTACATCACGTTTAAATGTGTAGAACATTTTGTTTTTCACTTTAAAGTTTTCGCGCTAAAATAAAAAACATTTTATTACGTTCATTTCACAAAACTTAAAGCTTATTTTTATAATATACAACTATATTTAAACGAACTTTGTCGGTATCAACAAGTTTTAAACAATAAAAGTAATGATAAAATTTTGAGGTTATGTCAGACATTTTGTTCTAACATAAAATTCATAAAAATATAGACATCATGCGATGTTACCAGTGTAAAGCTTGTAACTCATAATTATTTTAAATAAAACAACCCATGTAATATTTCATATTGTAAGATTTATTTTAAACTAACTCATTACACAGATGTTATGGCTTACGGACACGCAAGTGTGAACGCCACATTAAATATAAAGGCACTTTCTAATATTTAAACATTTTAATTATAATCCTTGTAAATAGTTGTTAACCATCTTTTTTTTTTAATCACAAGCAACTTGAAACATTATGCCAATATAAAGACAAAACTAGTAGTAAAGTTAAATAGAATTTAAATAATATACAAAGATGAAAATTATATTTATTTTCGTAGCCAAAGATAATTTTAAATTATGTTTATGCATTGTATCACTTCATCATATCTTGCTGGCCATAAATATTATTCATTTTTTAATAATCTGTGGTGACAATTTATTTACATGTGTCAAACGTCTATAATATTTTGCCGCCATAACTCGCGGTATTCACGCGCCAATTATAAACTGTCAACTAATCAAATAACGATTTTGAATCTTATCAACACGTAAATAGATATTAATTTGAATAAAAGTGCATTGCATCTTTACAACATTTTAAATTATTTCCGATTTTAATGTTTACGTATAACATATTCATGAGAGTGGCCATAACTATTTTTTAAATCGTTAACTAGGGTATTTTAACTGTTTTATTTCGTTTCGTTTTCGATACTTCCATACGAATTGTCGAATTAACGATCGAGTAGTCAGTGATATATTGGATTATGGTAATACAATTAAACAGTATTAGAGTAATAACACGCTGACATGGGGTACTATGAACAGTTAGACATATAGTTGGACATTCTAAATTGGCTGTTTTATTATTTTATGAAAGTAATAATATTTATTCTGACGTAAAATGCTTCCTACATTTAACTGTTTAAAGCATATGTTGAAAGATTGTCTCTTTTAATTTGTGTTATAAAAAATATAAAAAATAATTGAGTACGTACCGAACAGAGCTGTCCGTCTATCTGTAAGCTGAACAAAATACGCAATGATTTATAAAATACTTCTTATAAAAATTATTATAATATTGCCCTGTCTAAACATGTCCTACATCTATTACCTTTGTGATCTATCATCATCATCATCAGCTCACAATACGTTCCCACCGAGGGGCTCGAAGCCTGGCCGCGGACGAGAGCGAAAGCGTGCCCGTGGTCCCGTCCCGATGCGTTGGAGGAACAGAGGGGTTTAGTGGGTATGCCTCCACTATGGAGGAAAATCCCACATAACTACCGCGTATGCATATAGCATTCCCCACTGAAAAAAAAGGGGCTCGAAGCCTACCCTAAGTTAAGGGTGATTAGGCCATAGTCAACCACGCTGGCCAAGTGCGGGTTGCTTGACTTCACACATATCTTTAAATTTCTTCTCAGATATGTGCAGTATCGCGATGTTTTTCTTCATTGTAAGAACGTCGGATAAATGTACATAGGTAAATCGGAAATAGAAAAACACATTGGTACATGGCGGGATTCGAACCTAGGACCTGCAGATTGCAAATCAAGTGCTTGACCCCTGAGCCACCGACGCTCTGTCTATTTGTGATCTATCATCTTTCGATTATTATGCTTTAAAACTTGTACATATTTTCTTATCGATATTTCCGTTGTTAAATCGATATTTGTTCAACAGGTTGCAAATCATTTTTCAAGAGATCAGTCCGACGAAACCTGACATACTCCTGTCGGGGCAATAGGAACTGTCCTATCGATCAACACCACAGGAACCAATGCCAGTACTGCAGACTCAGAAAATGTCTCAAAATGGGCATGAGGAGAGAAGGTGAGTCGATTTATTATATCGATTTAAAATCGATTCGATTAAAAGAAAATTTTACTAACCAGTATTTTGTTTTTTACTAACATGCCTATATTGAGACATTTGATTATGTTAATAAAGTTTTCTTTTTTTTTGTCCTCCGGTACATAGTTATATCCTGTAAGTACTATGTTATATAAGTTTTCTATTTACTTATGTATGTTTTCCTAGTTACTTCTGCTTATTACATCTGTATGCTAATGTGTGTTTGTGTGTGTATCTTGAAAATAATTAACATTTTAATTTACTGTAAATAATCTCAATAATAATGTACCAATCGGAATGTCCTAAACATAATTTAGGCATACTTTAGTAAACAAAAATCCTAGAATGTCTTAAATCAAACATGAAACATTCTAACCCTATACTACGATGATAATACGAGTACATGTCGTTATCTCTGTTAAAAATAAAAATATACTAACTGTACCCCGCGCCTCCGTCCGTGCTGAATTAAAAAACTTAATAAGTAGCCTATGTATTCATCCAGACTTTATTCTATATGTATGCCAAATTTCATCAAATTCCGTGGAGCTGTTCCGGAGATACCTTCAAACAAACAAACATCCATCCATTCATCTAAACATTTATAATATTAGTAGGATTTTGGTTTAAATATTTCCGTAATGTAAACTATTAAATAACATAGCTATTTTCTTAACATAATTTGAATTCTCTCAGTTGCGTTTAATTTAATAATATCTTATTATTAACAAAAACAAAGTTTAAATTGCTTGTGAATTGTCGCGATGGTAATTAGTGAATTCCATTAATCTTGGCGGGTCATTAGTTGGACATCCGCCCAAGGGCTTATTTTAAATAACTGACGATCAGTTATGTGCTGTAATAGGTTATTATGAAGGAATTAATATAGATGGTTATTGTTTTAAAGACAGATTTGATTAATGGTTTGAATAAAGCGCAAGTAAAGTCATTCTGTGCAGTAAATACTGGTTAAATACAATGTAAATTTATAAAAACTATTAATTAGATAGCAGTTATGATGGTGACATTGATCGGAAGGCGAATAGACATTGTATATTATATAGCTGTCGCCCGCGACTCCGTTTAGGGATTACTAAATAGTAGTCGATTGTCAGAACTACTGAATATGCTTGTATCATTTCATTAAAATCGGTTAAGTCGTTTTTGAGAAGTATGGTAACATTGTGACGTGAGAATTTTGTATAAAAGTATAAAAAAAAAAATAACAACTGATCTTTATTTGTGTTTGAATTAATATTTTTAAAATAGTATAATATCCTTGTCTAAAATGATAGTAATGTCTGGAATATATCAATAAAATCTACAAACAAAACATAATTTTTTTCTGAATAAACATACAATAACATATCAACTAAGCTCAACTAAGTGCTAGTTTAGTATTTCTTAATTCTCTTCCTTTTGGTCACTTAAGTCATTAAACACGAGACCTTCCAAATACTTGATTTTATGTCAAGGTTCTTGTTGTAGTGACTTTGAGCCTCTCAAATAGCTTCATGGAAAATGTCAACCAGTGTACCCACACGTTTACAACCGTGATGTTTTATTAGTACTATATAAAATGAGTATAAAGAGTCTTGTAATTTTTTATGTTACTTTATTTTACATTCTTGATGACAGTGTTTTACATCCCTCTATAAAAGTGCAACTTAGGAAATAAATTTATGCCATAGTTTTATTTACGTAAATTACGTTAATCAATTTTACTTAAAAATAAAAATTAAACACAAATACTAACAGTTTACAAAATCTTTGTAAAAAAACTTAACTTAAAATCTGTAACTTAAATCTGAATTTACAATTAAAGTAGAATACCAAATAACTTAAGTAAAGCGTAATATGCTTCTTTCGACTGTATCTAAACTTTTTTTAATATGTAATTATCAATTTGTTACAAGTAACTATTTCTTCTTATATTATCATATTTCATTCTTTGACAACCTTACTGTGGGTTTCTAAGACCAAAATCTCCGTTTAAAACAGTCTTTCCCAAAGTGGGCGATAACGCCCCCTTGTGGGCGCTGCAGGTCTCAAGTTGCGGGTTATAGTAAAAGTTTCGTTTAGAATTCTCCGTTAATATACATATATAGGTCCCAATAATTCATTAATTTAATTTGAAGTTATAGTGGTTTTTAAATATGTGAAAATATGGGGGCGCTAAAAAATTCTCAAAGTGGGCAGTAGACAAAATTTGGGAAACACTGGTTTAAAACATATAACTGTTTTGTCAAACATCATGACGAGGATAGCGATATATTTATACAGAGATTTTGCTACAAACCAAAGGTTAGACAACTTATAATTTGACAAACATTTTAAAGAAATTCAAAAAAAAAAAGGTAAGACAAACAGTAATTTAGAAACAGGTGTGATATTGTGGTAATGGTTGATACGTCCAAGCCATTAGACGGGGTAAAGGTTGTGTATATCGCCCGCTGCGTCCCACGATTATCTCTGCTTTTGTACACCTGTCAAGAATTACCTTAGTGTTATACTAGCTGTCGTCCGCGACTCCGTCTACGTGGGATTGAAAAATAGATAGCCGATTCTTAGATCTACTGAATTTCTCTTTCTCTCTCTCTCGAGATTGCATCCCACAAGGTGGTGGGGTCAGCTTTCCCAATCCTACTACTGAATATTAATATGAAATTCATAAAAATCGTTCAAGCCGTTTCGTAGGAGTATGGAAATAAGAGAAAATTTTCGTAAGGGACCTACGAAAAGGATATGGGTAGAGAACGTAATTCTCTCTTTTGGGATTTACTAAATAATCCATAAGTTATATTGATATTTATTTTATAATTTGTTATCACGCAAATGCGCTCTAAAAGTTAATATGCGGAAAATATCTTAATTTAAATTAGTAAAAATTATATAAATCCATAAAATTTTATGTGTATTAATTATAAAAAAAATGTTTAAGTTCAAGAGCTACAATTAAAGGAATAATTTTTTAAAATTAAACAATTTAAAAAGCCAAAATATATTTCTTTAAAATCTCTAATAATCGTGTGATATCTGAACAACGTTAGTTGGTGCAAAACATTAACAATGACCCGAACATAATAGATAAAGCAGCGGAAAGGACAAGGTAACCCATTGCTCTCAATTCAACCCTTAAGCACCCCATTACACGACCCCGACACATCTCCTAACAAACGATTTGTTTGATGTCAACAAACAAAAGAAAGGTGAAATCATATCGTGCTTCTGACACCTTTTGAGATTAACCAGTAATAGAAAGGAGGAAAAAACCTCTTTTGTCCTTAATCGTCTTACGAGAACTGGATATTTTTTATCTGTGCTGTATTATAGAAGGTGTTGCATTAAACGTTTTAAGTTCAAAAGGTCCATTGATATGCGTTTGAGATGTTACCGATAGTTTTTTTTTCTTGTTTCACGATGTTTATTTTGGTACAACCCTAAATAGTGGACTCAAGTGGTCAGTTTCATTCTGTCTTTTGTAGCAAAATAAAAGTTGTTTTTTCTTGGTTTTTTATTGCATAACATATGAAAAATTTTCTTAAATAAAAGACCTGTTTTTACTTTCAGACAAGTTAATTCAAACGACTAACTGTTATGTTACTCGGAAATTTTTAGCTAACTAAAAGTCTAGAGTACAATTTTACAAATCGGTACTATTCAACATTTGTTTTAACTTAGGTCACTTCCAACTTAACAATATTAAATTTATCATCATAAATTATCATCATGTATATTTTTATGCAACATTATATTTTAGACGGTTAATATAATTAATATTAAAAAAATATTCAGTTACAAATCAAGCAATGTATACTCAATTGATTAATTAAGCACATTAAGGAACCAGTATATTTAATAATTGAATAAAAAATATGTCTAAACAAAAGGTTTGGGGAACGTCACTTGTACAACAATGGCGGCGATAGCTTTTGTTCTCGGCCATCAATCACTCTTTTGTTTGTCAGTATCTTAATAACTTTTATACTGGACCGGTCATTTAGAAATATTTTACGTGCTTTATGACAACACATAGACAATTATAAGAAGGCATCTGAGGTTCCTCTGGCGTTACGGATGTCCATGGGCGTCGGATCAAATAATTTTAGGCGATACATTGCTCGTTTTCCCCGTCTTCTATAAAAAAATGGTGTTCTAGTTAGTTAAAAATTAATTTAAAAAAATGCACTACGATAAAAAATACTGACGAATTGATAAACTCCTTTTGAAGTCGACTTAAAAAAAAACATGAAACTAACATAGAAATATCACTACAGTCATACTAAATGTACAATTATATTTAAAGTGTCAGATCGACACTTAGCGGCTGCTAAGTGATCAAATAACGAACTTGAGTACGACAGTAACTAATAAAACTAATTTCTTACTCTACGAAAAACAATATACAAAATTTTTCATTTTACCAAATTCTTCACAGATACAAAAGACTTCAACGGTAGTGTATAGGAAATTGATCAAAATAATAATAACCTCAAACTAAAGGGCTTAACTAATAGCAAACCGTGTACAATATGTAAGAGCTGTCAAAATCGTCATCGTAGTTCCCAGGGGCGCAAATTACTACAATGTTTGCATCACACATTATTCGTAACAATGAGAGCTTCGCGCACGCCTTTGCGGCAAAGGGCACGTCAAAGGAATTCGCGTTGAATTCTGAGCAGGGTGTATCTTCCAGGTGCGATCATTGTTGACCAACTGACCATACGCCGTAGGGTATGTTTGGGTCAGCACAACATTGTTACACCGTGAGAAATGCAACGTAATTTTGTGGATATACCGGACACCACTTGAATTGACGTCTACTTTTGTTATAAGAGTAATCAAGCGTACGCGTGATAGTGAAATAAAATCTCTATTTTTACTAATTGAAGTTAGTCCATCATAAGATCTCGGTTTCGGATGAAAGATTGCATGAAGCTGAAATACATACGTATACTATAATGGATTTGTGGTGTGAC